CTCCTGGCTTGGTACCTGCCCAGGTGGAGCACCAGGACAGGGGAAGAAGAGGCCGTTTGCAGGAGCCAAGAGGCTGGACAGAGTCTGGGACCTCGCTCCTCTTGCTGCATTCCCCTTCTACAGACTCAAGAAGGACAGGCAGCACCAGCACTCCTGTACTTTATATCCAAGAATGGTGCGAACTGGCCGGCGCGGTGGCTCAAGTCTGTAATCCCAGCACTTTGGGAGGCCGAGGCAGGTGGATCACGAGGTCAAGAGATCGAGACCATCCTGGTTAACATGGTGAAACCCCATCTCTACTAAAAATACAAAAAATTAGCTGGGCATGGTGGCACGTGCCTGTAATCCCAGCTACTCAGGAGGCTGAGGCAGGAGAATTGCCTGTACCCAGGAGGCGGAGGTTGCGGTGAGCCGAGATCGCGCCATTGCACTCCAGCCTGGGTAACAAGAGCAAAACTTCGTCTCAAAAAAAAAAAAAAAGAAAGAATGGTGCGAACTGAGATGTGCCCAGAGACAGGAACGGTGAGCCAGATCTTTGCAGCCAGGCTGTGAAAGCTGACGATGAATGAGCCAGGGCGTCTGAGAGTATGGGAGCCCAGATGGCAGGAGGTTCTGTGTTTTTCCTGGATTAAAGGAGGCACTGTGCATCGGGACCCTCTTCAGGGCATCTCCTCGAATTACTCCCATGTGTGTTTCCCTTGCTAACTCCTGTGTGTGTTCCCTACGTGGGGTCTTAAGTTTACAAAAACATTATCTGAAGGTCCATTCCACCTTCCGGTGATTCAGGTGATTCAGGTTGACACTCGATATCCTACACAAAGTCTGCTCTTAAGGAGCAGACACGTCTGCAAGTGGGCAGAGGCAGAAGAGGCATCTTACCAGATGCAACGTTTGCAGGTTTCAGGGATGGTATTACCACGCCTCCACCTGCTCGTCCAAGCTCCACAGAACCTCCCCTTCATTTCCTTTAGGGGGACACTACCTGCCACCCTTTCCTCCCCCTTCTCTCCTCACCAACATCTGCTTTCCTAAAACGGCTTCATTTCTCCTACTTCCTTTTTCACTCTTGCCAGTAAGTCAAGTGATAGCCAGGAAAGAAGCAAGTCATGAATCCCACACAGTTCATGTGGCTCAAATGAATAAGCACAACATTCCAGCAAGCAAAATATTTGAAATCCCAAACTTTCAAGTGACTGTACATAAATTATTTGACTTCCCTAAAACTTATATAATAAGTATTATCATTACCAACAGCTAAGAGAAAGTCATTTTTCTGTTTATTATGGAAAACTATTGGCTGGGCTTGGTGGCTCATGCCTGTAATCCCAGCACTTTGGGAGGCTAAGGTGGACAGGTCATCTGAGGTCAGGAGTTGAAGACCAGCCTGACCTACATGGAGAAATCCCATCTCTGCCAAAAATAAAAAATTAGCCAGGCATGGTGGCACATGCCTGTAATGCCAGCTACTCGGGAGGCTGAGGCAGGAGAATCACTTGAACCTGGGAGGCAGAGGTTGCAGTGAGCCAAGATCGCACCATTGCACTCCAGCCTGAGTAACAAGAACAAAAAGAAAGAAAACTATTATTCACGTTTTTTATGCAGGAAGAAAGTAAGGCTCAGGGCCTATCTAAGTCCATGTAGGCTGCTATAAAAAAATACTGGGAAGATTATAAACAAATAGAAATGCATTTCTCATGGTTCTAGAGCTGGGAATTCTAGAACCAAGATCAAGGCACCAGCAGATTCAGTGTCTGGTGTGGGCCCTTTTCAGGGTTCACAGAGGGTGCTTTCTTACCATGTATGCACATGGCAAAAGGGTTAAGGGATCTCTCTGGGGTCCCTTTCATAAAGGCACTAATCGCGCCCGTTTATGGGTATCCACCTCATTACCTGATCACCTCCCCAAGGGCTCCTACTTCCAACTACCATCACCTTGGGGGTCAGGTTTCAACACGGGAATTTGGGGGAGACACAAACATCGAGACCATAGCAAGGGGGGCTAAAAAGGCTTCGGGAGAGCAAAAGCCCCGCTGGGATCTAAGCCCCGGTCTCTGCCTCCACCCACCCACTGCGCTTCATGGCCTGGCCTGAGAGGACATACTGTCTAATGGCTCAGGAACAGAGTAACAGCACTCTTTTGGGGTTTCTCAAAATGTTCCAACGATGGCTCTGCCTCCCTGCCTGAGCCCCCAGCTGTTGTCTCAGTCCCCATGTCTGCAAGATGGTTCCTCCATATCTTCAGTACCACAGTAGGAGCTCTGAAGGCCTGAACCGGAGGAGCCTGTGACCATGTCACTGACAGCAGCAGATCAACGGCTGTGGCCTTTAGCACCACCACTCATCAGCCACATGCTCCCGGACACGGGCAGAGCCTGTGGACACGGGAACAAGAGGGGAGCACCCACACAGAGGGGAGCACCGTCGGGGGGTTTAACACAGCACACGCTACCACCCAGTCTCAGGTCTGGCATGAGATCCAACCCTATGTGCCGAACCAAGGCTTCCAACTCTCCTGAGCAATCTGAGCACAGTGTCTAAGGAGCCCATTGGGCGATATATGTAAACACGGTAATCAAAGACTCAAAAGCCAAATGCAGTAATGTGGGAGAAGCCACAGCCACATTCAGTTCCTGGAAGATCGAGCCGCTCCCCTGGCTGCGTACCCTGCAGAAGCCGCTGAGGAGCTGTGGCCCTCATATCCCCAACAACGCCAGCATTATTTTGGGAATGAGAAGGTGCTTTGTTTTTGCCAGGGGCTTTCTCTTCCGCGGTTCAAAGCTGAATTATCAAAAACAACAACAAAAATGAGCACGGATATATTTCTCCGCACAGTGATCTGATAGGAACAAGAGCTTATCCATCCCTCAGCAAACTGCCAATTGCTGCCGTTAGAAATTCCATATTCAGTGATACTTAAGGCTTTTGGAATACACTTCAAACCAAAGAATTCAATCCCTTGAGCAGCCAGCGACAGGCCCCATTTAAGACATGGAAGGAACAGCAGGCTCATCTCCGCAGCTACGGCTCAAAGGCGGCTGCGCCCACAACACAGTCAAGACAAGCAGCCCACCTCCTCCTCCTACCCTGGAGCCCACACAAGGTGCAAGCCATGCGGACAACAGCCACCACACAACAGGGGTGAGGGACACATTCCAGTCTTCCTCGGGGAGGGGGAACGGCTCCAGGTCTGAAATACTCCCCCAGAGGGTCCATGTTCCCCACTCAGCACCGCATTCAGGAGCACCACTCTCACACCACTAAAGGAGCACAGCACCTCAGGAAAGCAGCCTATCTGTGCACAAAAAAAACTCAAATACACGGTCGGAAATCAGCTACACCTAGGAGTGTGTGAACAAGAAACGCCTACCTCCTCTGGAAAAGGGGAAGCCCTCTCCAGAGCAGGGCAGAAAGCAAGAGCAGAAACGCTCCACATAGCCCCCCGAAGGCCGGAGAAATGTACCCCATGTGACATCTGGCAGAGGCAGCCAGCAAGGAGGTGTGGCCAGGTCACAGAGGCCACTGGTCTGGAGTTGAGGAAGGGAGCAGCAGGGCCCCTGTGCCAGCCTCTCTGCTCCTGCACGTGCTCAGCATTCTCCATAATGAAGACTTTACAAAGAAAAGTCTCTTGGGAAAAAAGAAATAGAACTGTACTAGTCTAGTTCTTCAACTTTGTGTGTGTGTGTGTGTGTGTGTGTGTGCATGTATTTGTGCGCACACATATGCATGCGTGTGTATTTCTGTGTATGCATGTGTGCGTATTTATGCATGTGTGTGTTTGTATATCCCTGAGATGGGGAGGGTCAAGGAAACCAGCCCCCCTAGTCCTCACATGGAAAACACTCACATGCAGTGAGCTCTCGGTAACTTGAAGTCCGCTTCCAGCACAGCGGAGCCCAAGGCAGGACTGGAAATGATTAAAACGCTGACCCATGAGGTCTGTCACAGTAGCAAAATCCCAAGACTCTAAAACTCCTCCTCCCTGGACCTACAGCCATGCAGACAACCTGTCAGAAGACCTACAGAGCCCCCATAGGCAAGGCCAAACAGCAGATGGGGCAAAGCACTGCAGCCCCGACAGTAGACCCAAATCCCACCTGGGGATTCCGTGGGTACAGCCACCATCCCCAGGAGATCTGAAGGTGCAGGCACCAGGGCAAGGTAGAAAACCACGTGCTTCCTCCTTGGGGTGTCTGTCACTTCCCACACGGCACCGCCAGGCCACCTCATTCCCCACTCCCTGAAATCATAAACCTAAAAGGACACGGCCAAGCCTCCTTCAGTCATGGAGGCCATCAGGCTATTTAACCTCTCCAGGGACTCACAAACTCAGCATCAGGGAGGCTGGGAGGGATCACAGGGGGAGAGAAATGCTAGTTACAAGTGATGGAGGGATGCAGGATGTAAACCACCTTGCCAACTATGTACCTACGCAACAATCCTGCACGATCAGCACATGCACCCCAGAACCTAAAGTTCAATTAAAAAAGAGAAAAAGAAACTCAGCATCACTAAACCTTACTCCAGGGTTCCCAGGCTTCCCTGGCACCTGAAAACTCCAATCCATCTACACACCAGCATTTCCAAAATGAGGCGGGAAAAATCCCCAGGCCAGGGGAAAGCCCTGGACCTCCCGGCTCCTGCCCTCTCTGCCCTGACAGGCAGTATGACAAGCAGTGAGAAACCAGGGACCAGTGCCACCAAGAAAGAGCTGTTGATATAGCCAGGGGACAAATTACTGAATTCTTATCTGAAATCAAATTCTTAAGAATTATTTTCTATAATTGAAACCATGGATTTCAAAGCTCTTTGGTTTATTCTTGAGATGAAAAGTATACACCGTATCGAAAAGCAGCTACCAGCCCCGGCTTTACTCAAGAGTTTTCTTTCCGTGGCTGCAGTCCAAAGCAGCACCCCCTGCCCTGCCCTCCACAAACACATATCATTCAATGAAGGCCAACTCAGCTATAAAGAGTCCCACGGGAAGGCAACGGAATGCTTACCTTGGCTTCACATTTCTTGTGGCAGGAAAACTTGCAGGCTGGAAAAAAAAGAGAGAGAGAAAGAATGTGTGTGGAGCAGTCTAGCAAGAATTCTTACATTTCCAAACCCTCTCAATCCTTCAGAGTCTCTGGCTTGAAGATCCCATGGGTGGCCTCTCTCTGGCACGAGGGAGATTGTTACTTATGAGACATGGCAGTGTGGACAGAAGGCAGTGAGGACGTGGGGTGCAAGAGCCGAGTTACAACTGCTGTCTGTTAGCAACAGCTCGGACTGCTCAGGTGGGAATGTGTCGGGAGCAGGGTCATGAGCAGATTGGTTTTTCAAGCAGGATATGCCTCCAGCCAAACTGGATTCCTAAAGAAGAATAGTGAACTTCAGCAGCAGAAAGCATTCCTGTGTGCCCCAAAATTACAGCTGATCCCTAAAAAAAAAAAAAAAAAAAAAGAAAGAAACTGGAAAATGCCCCTTAAGAATCAGAATTTAAAGTATCCATGAAAGACAGGACTGGAGCCTTTAAATTTGTGAGAAAGTCGTGCATCTGATTTCGGAACTGCTTCCACTTCCGGCCAACCTGAGAACTGACTGTCAGAATAAATTCATGTCTAAATTCCTACAGCAGAATCCTTCCACAGGGGCCATTGTGTGAATGGATGAGTCCCGTGTCCCTTCGGGGGCCCTAACAATGCCACGCAGAGCTGGAACCAATGCAGATTTCACAGGCCCTCTCGCCCAGAGGCTGCAGCTGTGATGAGGAGGCATAAACCTCCCCACCACCACCACCGGCATGCTGCAGGCAGGCCTTGCAGGACAGGGAGAAAGAAATGAAGCCACAGCACCGAACAGACCCAGCACGGTCTCCTGTGCCAGCTCCAGGGAAAGGTCCAGTACATTCCCTCTCTTCCCCCATGTTTGCCAGCCCACAGGGACGGCTGTGGGAGGAGGAAAGAGACCTGGATTGGGGGAACAGTGACTGGGGACGCCAATCCAGGCTCTGCCCCTCTAGCTGGGTCTCTTGTTTCCTCCCACAGAGCTATCATGGGTCAAAAGGAATCCTTCAAGGCACGCTGCTTTGAAACTAGAAAGCAGAAGTGTGTGGGACCAGAGACCGAGGCCTCAGAAGTCAGGGAGAGGGACCCCACATCCCGGCTCTGCGTGTCACGGCCCTGTGAAATCAACCAACGTCTCACTCCCCATCCTGCACTCTGTTTTCTATGACCTACCAAAGTCAAAAAGGTTTGTGTAGGGTTGAAAGAGGATAAAACAGATAAAGTCACTTGCCCACTTCCTGGCTGTTATTTGAACTCCAGTTACAGTTAGGTTGTTAATCTATGTATGATCTATTTTTTTGAATTGCTGAACTGTCTTTCTATAGCTCTGAGGTTTGTGAGATCATTCACAAAAACATGTATTTATCCTACACCTTCTAATGGGAAAAACACACAAAGGTGATCAATGATTTTCAAATCAAGAGAGACTTAAAAGTCTAGGCAGACACCATCCCCAGCAGAGGCCAGCAAGAAAGACTGAGATAAGGAAAAGGGTGGTGGACAGGCCTTTGGCCTCTGGCTGAGAAAGAGTCAGGGGAAGAATTCTGCCCACACATGTCTAGCAGCATGTCACAGGGCCATGCCTGTGTGCAGCCCCCTCCCACAGTGAATCAGCTGGGCTATGTGACAGTACAACCTGGCAGAAGGGACGGTGTATGACTTTTGTGGCCAGAAGGCATCATGCTTCTGCCCTGGTGTCCAGGATCACTCATTCTGAGGACAGCCAGACGCCATGTTGTGAGGACACTCAAGCAGCCATGTGGAGAGGCCCCCGTGGAGAGGAACTGAGGCTTCCCACCAACAGCCAGAAGTGTGCCACCTCAGAAGCTGGTCTCCAACCCCAGCCAAGCCTTCAGATGATGCAGCCTCTCCAGAGACCCTGGGCCAGAACTACCCAGTCACCTATGTCCCAAATTCCTGATCCAGTGACATAGTGAGAGATAACAGATGCTTACTGTTATGCTAAGGCACTAACTTCGGGGGTCATTTGTCATGCAACAGGAATACAACATGCCAACTAAACACGAAAAAGGGCCCTGGTCAGTGCAAGGGCAGCACCGGTGTGATATATCCACAGTAGGTGGCCTACTCGGCCACCAGACAGCTATTGGCATTGAAGGGAAAAACCATTATATTCAACAACCATAGTGAAATCATATCAACTGCCCATGAGCCAAGATTACAATCCTGAGAGGCAGAGCCATTGTTTCTGGTATGTAGGCAAGTAACCCTCAGAGTTTTACAAATGTTTGCACTAGGACTTTACACTCGACTGCCAGCAGCATAGGTGATCCTCAGGGCAGCAAGTCCACTGTCAACCTGTCCGTGGTCCAGCTGTGGTCAGTACTGCCCCAGACAGTGTGAGATACTTCCCTGTATGGGACCGCACTTGCTCCTCATAAGCACCTCTCGGGGAGAAACTGTCAGAGTGACTCAGCCAAGCGGGCAGCCACGGTCTGTGAAGGAAGGACTCCAGCCGTCTGTGCATCAAGTTCAGTGCTTTCAGCCGGTTGTACTCTCCCTGCCTTTCTGGCACATTACAAAAAAAATGAATCGGACAGTGCCCAGGCCCAGCTTCCTATCTTGCCACCCACAGAAGACGGCCCCCTACCTGCCCTAACCCTGCCCATGCCAACCCCAGCTCCTCATTCACGCCATCCTGCACCCACCTTCTGGGCCTGGCTCAGCTGCCTCTGTGCCTGAATTCTCCACACCCTTCTGTGCCACTGACCCATCAGGATGGGTCATCGCGGCGGGTCATCATAGCTTGTCATATCATGGTGATCTCTCTGTGTCCACCTCTCCTGATGGGCTACAAGCTCATCAAGGGACGGTGTCTCTGTTGTGCATGACCGGGGTCTCGCAATAGCAGCACTAACAGGAGTGACAAGCAGCTGACCACTCAACTCCTAAAAGCTTGAACTGCATGGGCACTACCAAACTTCCACCACACCCTGGAAAGAAGCTACCTGTCTTTGCCTGTTTTATCAATGTGAGGCTGGGGTTCATGGATGAGACTGAGGATTCATGTGCTGAGCAACTGTGTGCCAATCCTGACCTGTTCCAGGTCTGCTTTCAGAAGCCCACAGCCAGCAGGCCCAAGTGCTGTGGAGACCTCATTACCTGATCACCACTTAGGGACTCTGGGCTATGAAGGTGCTGGCCACAATGGAGACTCCAAAACAGCCGAGGAACTTCTCACCAAAATCCATCTCCAAAGCACGCAGGCCCAAAAGACAAAATGTATGTATTCACTTTGACCCTCAGCCACACAGACTTGCCTCCTTTTTGGAAGACCTCTTGTGTGAGCCGGCAGCTAAATCAGCCACCTTCTCAGGGAAGGACATTTTTATGTGAATGAACTCCTAGCAGACAAAATGTAGTTATTCAGACTCGAGTGCTTGTCATTTTCTCAAATATTTAATGAGTCTGTAGTCACAAACCAATGTCAAAATTTGAGATTTCAAGTGAAAATCAGAATTTTAGAAGACTTGTACCCAGGCCTGGCGTGGTGGCTTATGCCTGTAATACCAACACTTTAGGAGGCTGAGGCGGGCAGATCACTTGAGGTCAGGAGTTTGAGACCAGCCTGGCCAACATGGTGAAATTCCATCACAATTAAAAAATTCAAAAAATTAGCTGGGCATAGTGGTGCATGTCTGTATTCCCAGCGACTCAGGAGGCTGAGGCACAAGAATTGCCTGAACCCAAGAGGCAGAGATTGCAGTAAGCCAGGATCACGCCACTGCACTCCAGCCTGGGTGACAGAGTGAGATTCTTCTCAAAAAAAAAAAAAAAAAAAAAAAAAAAAAAAAAAAAAAGACTTGTACCCATCACCAGAGCCTAACAACCCCAGGATATTTCTGTTAAAATCAATGATCATCTTAACAAATGTGGGGATTTTCCTGAGACTGTATAACAAACATGTCAACATTTAGAAGTTCTGCGTCATTGTCAGTGGACCAATAATTTTCAAATGGCCAGTGTGTGGTGTTCAACACCAGGTAAAAGATGCCACTCAGAGTGCAAGACAGGCCAGTAGATTTTAATAAAACAGAGTAGGAAAAACTCTACCCATACAGTTTCAGATTCCACCATGAAACTGAACTTTAAGCAACTCTCACTGGAGTTTTAGTGTAGAATCAAAATGTAATATTCACGATGGCCTGAAAGGCCTATTAAAATGCTTCCTTTTCCAAGTAGGTATGTTTATGGGGCTAGATTGTCTTCAACACTGCAAACCAAGCATTATGCAGAAAGACTGCACGCAGGAGGAGTCCACAGGAGGAGTCGGCCTCTTGATTGAGGCTGCATAACAGAATCACAAGAAGAATGCCCCTCCTCTCATTTTGTTGTTTTGACACGTACAGTCATTTTTCATTAAACATACGTTCATTTTAACATATAATGGGTTAATTACTGTTGCCTTTAGCTAGCTTAAATATTTTATACATTCATCAATTTCTCTTTTCTAATAGGGTAAATCATGATGAATATAAACCACACTGACAGGAGTCCTTTAGGGTCTTCCGGCAGCCCCGCAGTGGGTGTGAGGGCAACTCCTTTCATTCTCCTTGCCTGAGGCTCTCCGAAAAGTATAAGGACCCAATTTTGACCAACAGAAAGGCAAGTGAACTCTCCCAGGCGCTTCTGGCGAAGGCCTTCCCACTCCTATGAATGAACCAAAAAAGGAAAATGCCTCTGCCTCCGGACCCTGCCCCTCCGAGCACGGAGCTGGACCCACAGGAGGAAGCTGGAGAACTCGGGCTGCTGAATCAGGGCCCAGGTGCACTGCCCGGAGCCCACCAGCCACCGCACCTGCCCCCAGCAGGAGAAGACCCATGCCCTGCTGGCTGGAAGAGGCTCCATCTGTGCAACCCCATGACTGGCTGTTGTGGTGCCTCCCACGCAGCTCCACATGCTTTGCATGCCTTGTTCCACCCGTTCCCACAGGGACCAGAGAGAAAGGCACATTCTCGCTCCATTGTAT